TTGTTTTTGTGTGGTGCTGGTGATAAAACCCAGGGCCTCATGCATACTAGGCAAGCGTTCTGCCACTGAGCAACTATCCAGCCATATCTAATCTGTCATCTACTAATCTTTTTTTGGTACTAAGGATCAAACTCAGGACTTTGCACTTGTGAGGCAGGTGTGGTGCCATTGAGCTAAATCTCTGACCCCTCTTTTTGAGGCAGAGTCTTGCTAAGTCCAGGCTGGGCTCAAACTTGCCATCCTCCTGCCTCAACTTCCTTAAGTGCTGAGATCACAGATGCTTGCCACTGTGCCCAGCTGCATGCTGGTCTTTGAAGATTGTTTTGTATACCAAGGCAAGTATTGTCAAGAGAAAAAAGCAAGCCAGGTGCAGTGGTACAGGCCTGTCATCTTAGCACTTAGGGAGGCTGAGGTGGGAAGATCACCATGAGTTTGAGGCCAGCCTGGACTACATAGTGATTTCAAGCCCAGCCTGAACTGCATAGCAAGACCCTACCTCAAAACAAAAAAAGTTAAGTTCAAGCCCATCCTGGGCAACTTAGCAACCTAGTGAGAACCTGTCTCAAAATAAAAAATTCAATTAGCTAGAGATGTTGCTCAGTGTGAAGGCTTCAGGTTCAATCTCCAGTACGGGAGAAAAAAAGAAACAAAACCAGGCAAGGGCTCCCTTGGCTGGACAGTCGGGACAGCCTGCGAGGGTAACCAGGCAGGGCCTGGGGAAGCTGCCATCTGGACAGAGGGAGCAGCAAGTTCTGGGCTCCCCTAGGTGAGACCTGGGGCCTGGTCCAGCCAGAGGCTGGTCTGTGGGAACAGGAGAACAGAGATGGCTGAAGCTATCAGGGTTCATGCGGATGCACAAGGAAGACAGCCCATCTTGGCCATGCTGAGGGCAGAATCCGAGACGCCTGGCTATGTCTACACTGGCCCAAGCCCCTCCCATGAGTAGGGGCAGAGTGGGCCCTCACCCTCCAGAAGTTAGGCTCAGACCTGACAAAGCTTAGTGCAACACAGCAGATAGGAAGGGGCAGCTCCCCAGGACTCAGAGGCCACTGAGCGCCCAAAAGACAGCAGCAAGGGGAACCTTCCAGAGCCAAAGCTCTCTGCAGACAGCCCAGGAGACACCAGGTCTTGGCCCTGGTTATGAGGACCCAATGGCCCTCAGAATACACCCTGAACAGCCAGCCAGCCCAATGGGGAGAATGGCAAGGTGAGGATGTGGTTTGTTCCATGCAACAACAGACCATACCACCATTACCCAGACAGGAGCAAGGGCCAACAACAGGGCCATGGGCCTCACAGAGGTGAGTAGGGAGTTTCCAAAGCCCTGGGTTTCCCAGGGACTAGTTGTGGGCTGGTGTGGTCAGGCAACTGCAGCCAGGCTCCCTCTGCATCTCACAAGGAACTGCATGGCCCCATCCTGTCTCTCAGGCCACAGCTGGGCCCAACCACAGCCTGCTGTCCCACCCTTGCACTGTTTTTCTGGTTTTCGTGGTGGTGGAGATGGAAACAGGGCCCTGGCATTTGGGGATGAGGCTGCACTGCCAGTCATGTCCCCAGCCCTGACCATATCTGAGGATGGCCACGTGCCTGTGGGTCTGGCGCTTTTTCTGGACCCTCAGCTTCTACATTGCCATCCCTGCTCCTCAAGCCATGCACTCTTAAGGCCTCATGGGCAAAGGCTGCCAGGCCCCCAGGAGCTGCCAACTCTTCCCTTCACCTGAGGGAGATCTGTAAGCTGGTGGCCTGATGAGACAAAGGTGAGAGAACTGATGCACCGTGACCTTGAGACTAAAGAACATAGGTGAGAAAATTTAAAAATATAGAAACAGGCTCAGCAGGGCTCGCCTATAATCCCAGCAATAGGGAGGCTGAGGCAAGAGAATCCACAAAATATCAAGATGGCCTGACCAACATGTGCACTAGTCGTGGTTAGACCACAGTCAGTAGATCCCATCCCAGCGTCCAGGTGGTGCTATCTGTGGGTACAGGTGCTGCAGACCTGCTCATTAGGGGCTCAGGCTCCCAGCTGCCCTCTGCAGTTTTGCCTTCCGTCATGAAGGAGATGTTATTTACTGATTCATCCATTTCATTTTCTGTACTTATTTTTCATTGCTGTGGGTGAATCCAGGATCAAGTGCTCTAATGCTGAGCTCCACCCCAGCCCCATTGATCAATTGTAAAATTGGAAACTAGGAGCCTTTCACAGGGCTGGTGTGGGCTCAGCATAAGTGAAGCCCTCAACTCATCCTCAGCACACACAAAGATGCTTCCTGCAGTGCCCATACTGTGGGCAAGGCCCACTGTGGCCTCCACACCTGTGCATAGTGTAGCTGGTGGGAAGGCTTGGCTGGGCCAGGCCACTTTTTAGTTGGGCCCAGCTTCGGCCTGAGAGACAGGATGGGGCTATGCAGTAGCTTCCTGGAGGTATGACAGCAGTGGCTTCTCCGGCCTTACCAAGCAGTTTATCCTGAAATGTGATGTTTCCAGTAGGGTTTTGGTTACAGCTTCAAGTCATGTGATTGATTTTCATTTAGAAGGCCACAGGACTCCCAGGAAAGCTGAACATGACACAGGGCCTCAGGTTCCCAGTGCCACAAAATGCAATAAAATATAAAAAGAGCGGTGGGATGTAGCTCAGTGTGAAGGCCCCAGCTGCCACCGCCAGCATTGTAGGAGAGGGAGGGAGGGAGGAAAGGGGGGAGAGACAGACAGACAAGATTCCAGATTATAAAATCAACTTGTCACATTTTAATGATGCAATAAAAGACCTCTATAATAGAGAAAAAATATACCTGAATTCTTCCTCTATAAGCCAATAACTCCACATCTTCTGGCCTAATGTTTAAACAAACTGAAGTAATGTTTGCATGAAGAAAATGACTTAAAACTAGATACATTTATAGCTAAGTGGATGCATATGAGGCCATTCTCTTAAGTGAAATAAATAGGACACACATTTAAATACCGAATAGTTTCTCTGGTGTGAAAAATTAAAAGTGTAAATAAGGTTCATATTGTATAACTGATAATGTGAAATAGGAAGAAAAGTGCTAAAGGAGTAGGGGAGGTGGGAAAGGTAGGGGAAAAGAAAGAAGGGGAAAGAAAAAATATGAGAAAAGGAAAAAATGGAAACAAAGTCTTTGTAAATAGGGAAGGGTGGAGAAGGTAAAGGGAGGGCAGGGGTATAGGAAAGAAATAACCAAGAACATCATGTAAAGGTACAAGATCCCAATGATGAATATAATTGGACTGTATACCTAAAAAGTACCAATAGTGGTGGCACACACCTGTAATCCCAGCACTCAGGAGGCTGAGGCAGGAGAATCACTGGGGGAGTTCGTGACCAGCCTGGGATACATTGTGAGTTCCAGGACAGTCTCAACTACATAGTGAGACCCTGTCAAAAAACAAACAAAAACAAAAAAACAAACTGGACTTGGACTGATATTTCTATTTGCTAAAGTTAGCAACCTGACCTGGAATCAGCCATGTCTCCAAAGAGTCCTGGATCAGACTAAAAAGTGGGAAATGATTTTTATTTGCTTACTTTTTTATTTTTATACTAGGAATTGAATCCAGGACTTCATACTTGCTCTGCCACTGAGCTACATCCCAGTCATTATTAATAAAATAAATAAATAAATAAAGCCAGGGATTTAGCTCAGTGGTTCTGCTTCGCAAGTGGAAGGTCCTGAATTTAATCCTCAGTACCAAAAAAAAGAGAGAAATCTTGATTATTTTTAGTTTTTGAGACAGAATCTCACCATATAGCTCAGGCTTAACCTCTTAATCCTCCTGGTTTAGCCTCCCAAGTGCTGGAATTACAGACATGTGGCCTCACACTGGTCTTTCTAAATTTTTACTTTGTGATACCTCAAAATTGCTGGCATTGTAAGTATGGGCCACCACACCTGGCTCAAAAGCAGGAAAGGATGTAGACCACTTCTAGGTGTCTTGGATACTCCTAGCTGAGTTTCAGCTCACATTCTCAAATATAAGCAGGCAATTAAGGTAGCTACTGTCAGAGGAAATAAAGTGCAAAGTCCAAATGAACTCAGCTTGATGGATCATGAATAGCATATTTATTTATTTACTTATTTTTTGACAGGGTCTTGCTATATAGTTCAGGATGGCATTGAGCTCACTATGTAGTGCAGGTTAGCCTGGAACTCACAGGTGTTCTCCTTGCCTCAGCCTCCTGAGTGCTGGATTACAGGCGGGCACCATCACGCCTGACATGAATAGCAACCCCCACCTACTGGGAATTGAACTCAGGACCTTTTGCTTGCAAGACAGGTGAGGCGCCACTGAGCTAAATTCCCAGCCCTTGAATAGCATTTTTTGTTTGTTTTCTTGAGACAGGGTCTCACTATGTAGTTGAGGCAGGTGGCGGAACCACTGAGCTAAATCCCTGGCCCCTCACTATGTAGTTGAGCCTGACCTGGAACTCACTATGTAGCCCAGTCTGGTCTCAAACTCACAGCGATCCTCCTGCCTCAGCCTCCCCAGTGCTGGGATTACAGGCATGCGCCATCACACCCGGCTAAATAGCACTTTTAAATGAATGGACTGGAATAGTAAATACTTGAGTTGGTTGTACTCAGGAGGGTACTGTTTTATACAGTTGTTTCTGTTGTATTAGTAGCAATGTAAAGAATAATTTTTTGTTTTGCCTCTGGGTCCAAAAATAATTTGAAAGCCCCCCCAAAAATACATAAACCAAAAGGATCACTGGAAAGATCTGAAGTTGCTTCTGGAAAAGGTTCTGAGGGGAAGGAGCAGAGAGACATTTTTCTCTTAAAGAGTTTCACCATGTATTCCAGGCTGACCTCCAATTTCTAGTGATCCTTCTGCCTTAGCCCCCCAAGTGCTGGGATTGTAGGTTTGCACAACACACCCACCAAGACCTTTTCTTAACTCTTGTTGAAGTATTAAACTATTTAGTCATGTACAGGCATAACTTAAAATTATGATTAGGCCTAGTCCTCCAGCCTACAGGCCAGCTACAGCACGTCAAGACACAACTCCATTTTCACCTCCAATCACAGCTAAGACCTCCATGGTCCCATGATACTGTGATGCTCCAGGACAGGATCACACCAGCTGAAGACATCCTGGGAGGAACCAAATCTTCATCTGCATGGTTCCAGGATTGTCACCAGCTGCTGCCCTCTGAGTAACCTGTTAGGTTTTTTACTCCCAATGTACCAAATAAAGGTGTGGTGAGCTCAGGGTCTTTTCATCCTTGTTGCCCAGAGCAGCATTGATCAGGTCCAAGGCTCAGCTTCTCTAAGTCTCATTTTTCTATCTTTTGAGTCTAATTAATTCACCTTGTGCTGTCATGGCTTGAAGACTAGCATTTACTGCAGAGGTTCTAATAATGACCCCTTTCTCTGTTCCCTACAGTGAGGCCACACTGGACACCAGGACCTCTCCCCAGAAAGCAGCCTTGGCCACCAGGTTCCTCATACAAGTGGCCTGGTTGCCTCTCACCTGGCAGGCACCCAGCACAATGAGAAGCTGTGGCCAGGGCCACAGCAGCAGTGGGGGTCACCTCGCCCCTACTCCACCCCTAAAGGGATGCAGCTCAGGGTCCCCACACCAGACACCATGGCCCCCAGCACTGGGCCACCCAAATTCTGCTGTGGCAGAGGTGCTGGGGGTCCCACAGCTTAGCTGGACAGAATTCTCGAGTGCTAGGTCCAGGGACACCCTTCCTCTTCCACCCACTGGAGTTCCAGTGCTTTTCTAGGAATGCTTGGCAGGCCATGGCTGCCCAGGGGAGTGGTATTTTCCTCCTGGCCTCAGCTCCGCACCAGAGGACAAGGAGTAGCACTTGGAGGTGTGGGCCTTGTTCTGCACACCCGGATTCCATCCTATACCACTCTAAGCTAGAGCCAGCAGCACCTTACTGAGACTGGGATCACCTACAAGACATGGTTCTGTGGGCATGGGGGGCTGGGCTCCTCGACAGCCCCCCATGAAAGTCTGTGATTCCCAGTCATAAGACCCAGAGGGAAGGTCCCCAGCATGTGCCCGACTTCCCACCAGCACTGGCCACTGCTAGAGACAGCTGGCAAGGGCTAGTGAGAGTTCCCCCCAATGGTGAAGGGGTCCACATCCCACAAGGCTGAGGCATAGAAAGGACCCACAGGCAAGAGGGAACAGCCCTAGGGGGCTGGGAGGAACCAGAGACAAAAATAAAACCCCCAAATTATCAGTAGAGGCTGTGGCTGTGGCACAAAGGCTTTCAGGCTGCCAGCAGGCAAACTTGGCACCCCAGGCCTCTTCAAGGGCAGGGTGGAGGCTAGTCGGGTTGGGTGGGCCCAGCTGGGTGTGACATGTGGAACAGAAATCTGACATTTGGGGCTGTGGGGCGGGTATCCTGTGTCCTACTGGGACTGGACAGCTTTCAGGCCTCTACCTTCCAAAAGCATCTCCAGATGTGGCCCAGGGCGTTACGAACCACTGCTCTGAAAGAATGGTGAGGCGGACCAGGCTTAGCCACAGATGGCCTTTGGGAGCCCTTTCCAGCTGGCCCCTCATGGGTGGAGGTGGTCAGCTCTGGAGGGTGGGCGCCAGGCAGCTCAGCGGAACACCCTTCGTCTCCCTGACCAGCAAAGGGTGGGGTGAGCCACAGGACAGCTCCATTGCTAGTCTGGGAGGAAATACGGGGAGCAGCTACTCAGCAGTCATGGGCACCAGCCAAGAGTGGGCAGGCATGTGTGTGTGTGTGTATATGTGTTTATGGCCTTGCGTGCCCAAGGTTCCAATGCTTAAGGTTTGGATCTAGGTCCCCTATCTAGGCGCCTGGGGAATCTCAGATCCAGGAAAGTGCCTAGGATCCTGGTGGATGGGGGGGCTCTTGGGAAGCTTCCAGGTAGCTGTTCTGGTTCCAGACTGGCCCAGTCTGCCAACTTTGACTACTGCCCCCTGGTGGCCACCAGCATAGGCACAGGACACCACCACAGCCTCTGGGGGACTCACAACCCAGAGTAATGACAGATTCTTGTCCCAATGAACAGGGACCACTTCACGTTTAGAAACCTGCTTACTGCACTGTTCAGGGCTGGGCCCCTTGGATCCTGGAGCAGTGCAGGGTTATGGATGTCTATTCTATCCTGGGAACTTTAGGGAACCATGCTCAAATTCTTTGTCCTCCCAAGACAATCTGCAGAGATTTAAACTTGGGCCCTGGAGATGTTTCTGCGACACAAAACAAGAGACCCTGGCTGGGGATGTGGCTCAGTGGCAGAGTCTTGCCTAGTGCATGCAAGGTGCTGGGTCTGACCTCTAGCACCACAGAAACAAAACAAGAAGTCCTCACAATGCTGGCGAAGAGTGGACCAGTCCTAATGGGTAGGGAATGCAGGACACTGAGGCCCAGGAATTTAAATCTGTGTTCCTGATGCATAACTCAGACATAAGGTCAGGGACACGAAGTATGGTAGAGAAGGGTCCACACTGCACTCCCGGTGCCTGCAGCTCAGCTCCCTCATGCCCTGACACAAGAACCCAAGGGCCTCCAGACCCCCAGTTGGTAGGAGTGATGTATACCTATTAATCCAGGGGAATCTGGAATCACACGGCTTCTGCCCTGAGGTAAGACCTTGGGTTCTTCAGCTACTTGAACAGCATCCTTTCCTCAGCTGGCCCCAACCCTGAACCTTCTGAACCGCACCTCATTTCTGACACACACATCCCCACAGGACCTAGAGAATCAGCAGAGGCTGAGGAGCCAACAGTAGGCTGGAATGGTTGGTAGCCACATTGCCATTGCCAGGGGACAGGGCCTTTCCTGCATCCTCAATCATAAAATATAACCTAGTCATCCCCACCCACCCCGTGTGTCCCTCCACCACCCATGCACACTTTTAGAGTCCCTACTGGAAAGCTGTTCTCAGCTACTCCACAGCACACATTCACCCAGCACGTTGTCACCCCCACACAGCACTGTCAGGATGGAGAGCAATGGCCAACTGGGGCAGGGACGTCCACTTGGGCACTCTTTGGACCCTGGGCTCCCACAACAGAGGATGGCAGGCCACCTCAAGCTCATACCAGGCAGACAAGGATCCAGACCATCCCAGACACAGTCCTCCCAATGTTTATTACAATGGTCACCAGCAGCACGTGGGGCATGGAAACAAAACTCCAGGCTCATTTGACCTTCATGTAGATCTTGGGGGTCTGCCAGCCTGGGGGTGCCTCCTTCAGGCCTGCCTTCAGCCAGATGTGCCTCAACTCTTTCTCAAATTTGACCTGTGAGGATGTAAGGAGTAACATCAACTGACTTTTGGCAAATCTACACGCTCCCAGCCTATCTGCGCACTCAGGCCCAAAGAGGAACCACTCACCTGCTTCCGTTTTAAACGTCCTTCCCGGACCTTGCGCCTTAGGAACCGAGTTCTTTTGACCAGCTTGCGGTACTTGTGGTGGTTCATCTTCCGCCGGCGGATCTTCAGGACATTTTTGCACTGCATCTGCGGTGCATCCCAGACTGCCTCGTCCACCTGCTTGGTCCCCTCCTCCACCTGGCTAGGTGGACACTTGTAGAATTGGCCTGGAGTCACAGTGGCTGGGGCCCCAGCATTCAATTTGGGCAAGAGGTAGCAAGCTGTCAGCCAGCTCTCAAGGGGGCTGATGGCCATCTTCCTGGGGACCAGCAATTCCTCAAGCTCCAACTGGGCCCCCTTGCCAGGAAGGGAGGCCGCCCTGCTCAGGCCTGCAGGCTGCAAGCTATGTGGGCGCTGGCAGGCTTGACTGCCCGGAGCCACGGAGCCAAGCCAACTGCACCCTGCAGGAGAGCACACAGTAGGCACTGTCGTGGGTCCACAGTGGACAAGCACCGCCCCAGGCAGGCTCGGGCAGCAGGGCCACCCGGTTGAATGAAATGCACCTGTCCTGGCTGGCTAGCCCTTCTGTCTTGTTACTAGGCCCGGTGGCACCTGTGACCCACATCCCTGCCCCAAGCGCGCACCCGCCCCATGTGCCTGTACCTGCCCAGTGGACGGCCCTGGCGAACCGCATTGTCAGGCGCGGCAGCAGCATGGTCGTGGGAGGCGGCGGCCGGGTTCAGAGCTGGAACACAGGCGCTGCGGAGTCACGAGGGAGGGCGGGACGGGCTGCAGACCCCGCGAGCCACCACCTGGGTGGTCCCTCTGAGGCGCGACTTCAAACCCGCTCACCCTTGGGCCCAGAGTCGGGCTCACATCTCGGCAAGCCAAGCGCCCGCCTAGAGGCTCGTTTCCCAGAGCACACAAGCCCGCAACGCCGGGCTCACTCAACACCCGAACACTTGGAAGGGTTCTGACGGGTGGGGTCCCACCCCGGCCTAGCCCAATTCAACCCCTCTTATCCGATACCCCAGCTCCAACTAACCATTCAGCCGCTGTATTTGGGCGCTTCCGGCCAGTCCCCAGCACCGGCCCTCGCCGTGACGGCTTCCGGTTAGAAAGGTGCCGTCTCCGCCCCAGCCCTCACGCGCACGTCAGTTCCGCCTCCTCCCCTACGGCGGCAGGAGTTTGCCACGATCCCACGGAGTCCCCTCGCCCATGCGTGGTCGCACTCAGGCGGCCGTAAGTGGCGAGCGGGCAGGTCCCGGCCAGCGAGACTGTGGTAGTTGCTTACTCAGGGACGAGGGGCTCCTCGTCTGCAGGACCCGTCATTTCGACGCCGAGTCCCCAGGGGCAGGGATGTGGCCTGCCAAGGTATGGACGACAGGAGCGTTGGCGACCAGTCAGGGCTCCGTCGCGCCGACACCTGGAGTCGCCCGTGCCCGCCGTGCGGCATGTGCTGGGGACCCGAGAGGCCTTGACCCGCCCCGTTCTCTTGGCTTCCCAGCCTACTCTTCCCTAACCCGGATAATGGGTGCACACTATTCCGAGGCAAACAAGCTCCGATAGTAACTGTCTGGCAAACAAAAATAAGACTCAGCCGGGCGTGGAGGTGCAAGCCTATAATCTCCAGCATTGGGGAGGCTGAGGCAGGATGATTGCCATGAGTTTGAGGCCAGCCTGGACTACACAGAGACCCTGCCCCAGAACACACACACATTTGGGCTTTTGTGGGGGGTACTTGGGATCAAACTCAGGTCCGTGCATTTGCCAGGCAGGCGCCAGAACCACTGAGCTAAATCCCCAGCCCTAACGTTTTTGTGAACTCGGGCCCTTGCGCTTGCAAGGGCACTGAGCCAAATCCCCGGCCCCTTGGAGGGTTGGTTTTGACTGAACTCTTAATGCTGCTCAGGACACAGGCACTTGCTTCTCAAGGTGCCACTTTTTCTCTAGTCCAGAAAGACGTCTTGGTGGGGATGGTGAAGCCCATGGTGGCACCCCAGGATGCTGGTGGGAGGAGCACCTCAGAGGAGGCCTGCAGGAGGAACTAAGGAGCCAGGGGAAGTGGCAGACAGGGCAGGACAGAAGCTGCAGGCTTTGTGGCTGAGGTCACAAGGTGATGCTGTATCCTACCTCCCAGAGGAACTGCCTAAGACTCCCAATCAGGAAGCAAAGCGTGTTCTGTGACTTTCCCAGGAAGACAAACTTCTACCTCCCAGTTGGAACAGAGCAACACATGACTCAGGCCGAGTCCAGCTCAATGATTCAGTGAGTTATTAGGTCACTTACAGAGTGAGGGAGAGCTCACCTGCAGCTGCACTACCAAAGCACCCTGACATTGAATTTATATAGAGCTGTAAAGGAAATCAGCAAAAAGAATAAAAACAAGAGTACATGGGGAAAGTAGTATTCAGTTCCCATCCTATTCTTATCCAGCAGCTTCACCCTCTCAACAAGCCCTCAGTGGCAGTGATGGAGGACTTGCTATGCTGCGCACTGCCTCAGTGCCCGGCTAGGGCCCACCAGACAGCTAATGGTCTCCCACTACAAAATGGAGTTACTTTGGCTAGGGTTTGGATGACTGTTCTCCTCATGTTCAGTAGCCCACTCCTCACCCCGTGGCACAGTTTTCCCCAGTAAAGTGCCCCCAGTTAAAGCTCCCACACAAAGCGGCAGAATGGTGCCCTCTACACCCCAAATCTTATGTGGGTGTTTCCAGTCCTTCACCTGGCAAGGGAGAATCCATCAAAGAGGTGGTAGCCAGGTGGGGTGGAACACGTCTATAATCCCTCCCCCCACTGGGAGGCTGAGGCATAAGGATCACAAGGTCCAGCCCAGCTTGAGCAACTTAACAATTCAACAACTGTCTCAAAAAAATGGGGTTGGGGTGTGGGATGTAGCTCAGTGTAAAGGCCCTGGGTTCAATCCACAACAGGTGGTAAGTGTTGAGAACAGTGCAGAGAAAGGCAGAAAGAGCCCGGCAGCTGCCTGTCACACTGCAATGCACCTGAGCATATACATCCAGGCATCCTCCCAGCGTAGGAGCTGTGTGGAACCTGTGGGTGGGAGGAGTGCACAATGGCACTGGTGGGCATCCACACCAGACCTAATGCTTTCTCCCACAACAATGACAGAACCCGTGTGGTGGCATCCCATGCCAGAGTGGGCAGACCCAGCCAAGCCCAGGTCAATCTTTCATAAGATTGAAGGAAAAGTCACAATAAAAGACTTGGGGAGGGTATGTAGTCATTTCTCTTATACTGGGGACTGATCTCAAGGACTCTGCCCTGATTGAGCCACATCCCAGCCATTGAAAGGGTTCTTTCACTAAGTCACTAAATTGCCAAGGCTGAGCTTAAACTTGCAGTTCTCCTGCCTCAACCTCCCAGAGTACTAGGCTTACAAGTGTGTTGCACCGTCCCCAGCTTTTTATTCTTTTTTCCCCTACCACCACCCCCAGTAACAGGGATCAAACTCAGAACCTTACATTTACAAGGCAGGTTCAACACCACTGAGCTAAATCCTGGCCCAGCTCTTTATTTTTAATCAAAGGAATTCTTTAACTTCTCAAGTATATAATTGTTGCACTTATTTCTGTTTTTCCTAGAATTCTGATTTGCCTCCCAAAAAATGTCTCAGAAATTTTAGCCAGGAATGGTGGCACATGCCTGTAATCCCAACACTCAGGAGGCTGAGGCAGGAGGACCACCGATAGTTCAAGGCCAGCCTGGGGTACATACTGAGTTCAAGGCCAGGCTGAACTACATGGACTCAAGTCTAAACAAAGAAATTTTGCTTATCTGGCTGGAAGCCTGGCGGGTCAAGGAGAGGAGTGAACCAGGGCAGGCCCTAGCCTGGGTCTCTCATCTGGGGCCCCAGGAGCCACTGCTGAGCACTGCTTTGTCAGATCCTAGTGTTACAAGTGCTGGCAACAACACACTGCTGTGAAGTTTTCAAGTTTCCATATCGGCTATCCTACAGCCAAACAGTTAACAACCAAAAGAAATAAACACATCTTTCCTAGTTTTTCAGGGTTCCTGTGATCTGTAGGCTGAGTACTGTAGATGAGGGAAATGGGAGCACAGTACTGCAATGAGGGAAGGTGTGCTGGCCATGTGAAGCTGGGTACCATCTGGGGTCTAAGAAGCAAAAGAGGAAGGGAACTGTGCTGCACAGATACTCCCTGAAATGGGAGATGGCCTCAGAGCAGACTGTCCTGTGGCCTTGCTGACAATGGAGTGCCCCTGTGGTGAGCTGAAGTCCCCCAGGCAGCAGCTGAAGGAGACCTAGAGCTTGCAACAGGGTTACAGCTGGCTCAGCATCAAAGGCCAGGACCAGACAGAGGGCCACCATGAGGCTTGCCCCAAGACCATGATGCATTGGGGCCTCATGCCCAACACCTGCCCACAGTGTCAGGGGACTGGCCCTGCCAGTCTCTTCTCCCAAAAACGGTAGGGCTGTCTCTGCCCATGGCACCCTCAGACTTTCTGCAGTGCTGCCACACCAGGCTTGGACTAGAGATGCTGATCTAAGGTGACCACTCACAGAAGAGACAGCCCCAGGTAACTGACAGCCCCAGATATCTGTCCCAAACAGCACAGTTCCTGCACACACTGCCCACCTGCCCACCCAGGGGGAGGGGCCTCTGCGGGCATCTGCCTCCCAGGTATCGCAGGTGGCCCACACAGATGTGCCCCAGCCACCTTCCCAGGTGAGACTCCCAGGGGTCAGCCTGTCCCTTCCTATTTCCGGCAGATGCATGGGAGCTCAGTATAAAACCAGGACCTGAGTGAGGGCGGGACAGGGACGGCATCCCAGACATGGCCCCACTTGGTGGAGCTGGCCATGCACACCTGCAAGCTCTGATGAGCAAAGCACAAGCACAGAGACTCTGACATCCCAAGTGTCCTGAGAAGAGAGAATTGTGTTTATTCAACAACATAAAATGCATATAGGAAACTTCTCTATTTAGAAGCTGGTGGCCTGCACTCAGCATTGCACAGATAAAAATATATGACTTTCAACACAGACCTAAATGCTTTCATGTTTTAAAAATCAGAATTCTCTACACAAGTTTTAAGCTGGCAGAATTCAAGTTCTGAGTTTTCATATTCATAGCTTTCCCTTGTATTAAACATGTTTATTTACAGGCAGATAGAGAATAAGGGGCTATTAAGGCCATTTTCTCATTGTGAAACACTGCAAAATATTTACATAAGTACAACCTAATATAGGCAAAGGTTCTAAAAATCATCTTTCTTGGCTGAATGTAATTGAGTATGGAAGCGGAGAGAGCTTGTCCGTAGCACCAAGCCACACCAATAGGAACTTGTGTCTTTGCTTTCCCATTGAGTTGCCCAAGGGGCTGAAGCTGAACCCTTTGGCTGGGACCATGTGTGACACACCCCATGCTGGCACAAAGGGCCCCTCACTGTTCCCTCAATTTCATTTCCAAATTCATCTCAAGGTCCAGGGTCAAAAAAACCACTTTCAAAAAAACTGGTGGTGGTCCAGGGCGCTGAGGTGCCCGAGGAGGAGAGTCTGAGGGCAGCCCTAAGCACCCCCAGGAAGGGCCTGAGGCCAGCAGTCTCTGGGAGCCCTCTTCACCGCCGATGCCTGCTGTGCCCGGAGTGGTCTCTCTCATAGCGATGGCCACTGCGCTCATAGGACCTGGAGCGCTCCCGCCGCTGATCTCTGTAGTAATGACTTTTCTTCTTGTATTTTCCAGAATGATCTAGCCGCTCCCGTGACCGGCTCCGAGAACGGGATGAGCTGCGGCTCCGGGACTTGTGCGGCTTCTGAGTAGGGTACTTGCAATCCTTGGGCTTCCGGGAGCCCCTCACCTCAGAGGCTTTGTAGGGGGCACCTCGGTGCGCCTGTCTTGGTGGCGAGTCACTCCGGCTCCTGGAGCGGCTCTGTGACTTGGACCCGCCAGACGTAGAGCCACTGTCACTTTTCCTGTGAGGAAGGACAGCACACCTGGGACCACAGGTGCGACCAACTGTCTCAGCTCGGGGCTGACAAGGAGTGGGCAAAACAAGACCCCATCTCAGGTTAACAGCCAATGTCCCTTGGGGAAAACACCCATCCTACCAGCCCAAGACCCTGGGTGAGTACCCGAAACGCACCT